TGGATAGCCCTGTTGAGGTGGATAGCCCTGTTGAGGTGGATAGCCCTGCTGCGTAGTCATTATAGTCTGTTGCATTGTCATCGGGTATCCCGTGGGCTGATGTACCACAACAACGTTGGCTGGCTGAGAGGATGAAAAAAAAACGCACATGATAAACGCGCATGTTGGTAAAATGTTTAATTGATGGTAACTTGAGTGAAAATCACTCTTTCTCCATAAAATATCTCCAGTTTCGTTTTATTAAAGCCAAGCTGCATTATCAGCCAGTTTATCTCCCTCTTTTGAAATCCTTATCAAATTCTTAGAAAGTTCTCAGTGAAGAAACGGCTTGCAGAGGAAGCGCAGAGAGCATATTTCCTTTGTTTCTAAACTCATTATCACGTCGCATAATCATACTCAAAATCAACGAGAAATAAAATGCAAAACAAGAATAAAATACGACCAAAACAGCTTATATTATACAATAAACGGCAATTACGATTAAATCTAGGCTAAGATATCTCTGGTTTGAAACTGACTTTTTCGAGACTCCTTAATATACTTAAAATACCCTATATACCTTCCTTATGATATAAGCTGTATCAACATACAAGCGTCAAAGGATATAGTTTCATGAGCTCTTTTGTTCCAGTATTGGGTACTGATGTTACCGTTTGGGTGAGAGATAGGGTAATGTTTGTGTTCTCTGGAGCCAAGGTCAAGAATTGGGTACTTTTTGAATCATTCTTCTCTTCAGAGCGATATTAGCCCTGACATAGGGTAGGGAAAATCACGTATTTTGGTCTGAGATAGGGTAAGAGCTTCAAGAAGTTGGCCACTCATCATCCCCACCTAAAAAAGGAGTGCGTTTAACTAACCAGAATTTTCTTACCCCTAACTAAATCCCGAAAATGTGCGACCCCATTCTAGTGACTTCCATTTAAAATGCAGCCTCATTATAGTCAATCCATTCGAGTAAATACGACCCCATCCAGAGGTACATTCCCATTAGCCTATCACTAGGAAGTACCTCCCCGGGCTTGATTACCTGAGTTCTTGCGCAGCATGTTCCCATGCAGCCAATGATGGAACCGGCCAGTGTGAAAATGGCAGCAAAACCTGACACGATTAGAATGGCCAAAAAGCAGGATTCAATCACCCTGATGTCATCACAGTTGTGCACTAAGAGGTGAAAACATATTTTGAGATTGAAAATGTCCTATAATCATTCCAACCGTCAGTATCAAAACCCCAAAGAGAGGGCCTGTTCACAGGCTATATCAAAATCCAAATTCATTGTGCAACAATTTTAATCACACGTCGATCACATTTGACGTCAAAGCTTATCTGATCGTCCGCAGCATGAACGTGTCAGTGATAAGCTCAATTGGAAAGGCAAGCACGTTACCCAGCCACCGTCCCGCGTGAGGCTATTGACTTAGTTATGACGTCATTCGCTACTTTGTGTACTTGTTATCAAATCTGACGCAATAAACTTGATATCCAAACCTCTCGTTGTCTGATCTTAAAGAACACATGATTTTGATTTTTCTTTGCGAGGAAATACACGTATTTCTAGACCTAAGAGAGCAGACAATGGAAAATTGTAGCCGCGTTGATAAATAGTCTATAATTGCTGTTGATGTGCAGAGTGCTTTTGTACGGTGCTTGCGCTTTCATTTGCATTTTACACGAATGAAGCGGGACTACGCAAACGGAACCGCGATAGCAAGTACAGTATGTCTACCCCAATCAATCTCGACCCCAGTGCTTACGCTTCTGACTCCCTGGCCGTTATGCGCATAAGAGCTCTGGGGTCGAGATTGCACCCTGATGGGATGTATGCAGGATGTTCATTGCGCATACGTATCTTACTGTGCTGGCGCTTGCGTACGACGTGTAAAAAATTTCTTTTGGGGTTGTGTTTGTGTCACTCGAGTGATCATAACCCTTAGTAAAACAGTGGCAATAGTCACCTGAAATACGCGGATTTTATAGGATTAGGGCTCGAAAGAACAATACGAGAGTTATGTTATAAAAGTCAGTTTGAATACTTTTTAGAACCAAGAAGTCTTGACTATCAATAAATAAGTCTACTAGATCTGAATTTTTCCAAGTGCAAACCCGTCACTTACTCACAATGAACACTTCCTTTTTCCCGCTTTTACAGCAAAGATTAGTTTAAGAAGTGGTTATTTTGATTACTGAATTTAAATCAGATGTGTTTAAAAATTCCAGTAGAGGAACCACGATTTTGAAGAATCAAAGTAATACATGTATACTGGATCCCCCATGGTTCCTACTCAGCAGCTCTAACGGGGTGTACCTGTCAGCACACTGCACCCTTTATGGTGCGTTTAGGATCCTGTCGGATCCTGGAGGTCTCTAACCAAGATTCATCTGGTAGCTCAGCTCCCTTTGGAACCATTTTTGAAGAGTCCAAATGGTGCATGTAGGATCCTGTAGGACCCACAAAGTCCCTTATAAAGTTTCAGCCCTGGTAGCACAACATGCCTTGTTCTTATCTCACCTGTTACTGGAGCCCTCTCATCTGTGCCATCACAAACGCAAGTGTCTCCAACTTCATGACATGTATCCACCACCCTTCGGATAATTGTCCAGATGAGCCATGCGATAAGGGCAATGATGACTTGAACAATCATTATAATGAACCAGAGGATGCACATCACCAGGTAAAAGACCATCTAAATTATGCGTGCAAGCGATTAATCTTCTGCATAAGATAATTTACTATACAGTAAAAACTCGCCAGTAACAATCTTGTTTTTAGGAACTTGTCAGGCTAAATTTGCCACTTACACCCCCTCCTTATGAATCAAACATTAAGTTTTGGCAAGTGGCAAATAAACCATAAACATTTTCTTCCCAATTTGAACATTTCTCTAACCACGGGGGCGTAGCTACCTGTACACACGCTACGCACGTGCGTACCCGAAAAAGTTGAGGAGAAAAAATAAAATGAAATAAATATAATTTAAAACGTCGGTTTTTAGAGAAGCGACGACATTAATTGGTGAACCGAATCATGGATGATATATATATATCTATATAGCAAGCTCACGCCTATGAGGTAAAGCGTGAACGCGTTGTTTTCTCCTTGACCTGTCTTCGCAGTAGAAGTGTGGTGCTTTTGTCGGTCAAAAAGCAGTAAAAAACAGTCATTTGTAAACTTAAGTCGGAGGTACTACGAGCCTGATTTTTAATAGCTGAATTAATGATTAAAGGCTGACATCCATCAAACGAATAAACCGACAGAATTAAGGAATTTTAGAGGTTGCGTCATTTCATAAACAGCAAAAATGCTTAGGCTTACAACCGTTAACCCTACTCTAAAGGCACCTTAAAAAGATAGAGATTTGGGTTGGGGGCGGGGGGGGGGGGGGGAGGGGG